TACCACTTCTTTGTCACACAACCTTTGCAACACAGACACGCATCTGGCTTCGCCAATTAGCCAGACAACAAAAACCGTGGCTACCACCCTTCCACGTGCCAAAATGCAACATTACAGCAGGCAAACACACAACACTGAAACAAGCATTATTCTCTCACTTCAGTTGGATGAGACAATTTCAGTGGCATATTCCTCCAGCATGCTTATGTCACCAGATCACAACACAGCACCCGCAACTCCTCACCACTACACTCGACAATTCCCCACACATTGCCAGTCCAGCAGGACATCTAACCATTCCATTCCGCCTCCAACAATTCTTATCCACACATGCCGGCACGCAGGTCTATCCTACCAGACAACACTACATCCATTGCACATGGCCAACATTACAACGCTGGCTTCAACACCACAATCTCTTCAACATCACCTATGAACATTGGCACCAACATGTACATGAGCAGTGGACACAGCACTTGACACACGCACAAGAGTCCGTCACGCATCGTGACATCAAATACCTTAAGTCAATCACCAAATCACTAGTGGTCCACTGTCGGGACCATGCACCATCAGCCATTTTTGTTTTCTGTCCATACCTCTACTGGACCGTTCTTCGCAGGACTTTTGGAGACACTACAGTTTACACACAGACCACTCTCACACCAACACAAGCAACACAGTTTCTCCAACAACTTGCCAACCAACCTTGGTTGCACAAATACAAGTGGGGTTGCAGCAGCACCAACCAATGCCCCACGGCCTATGTTCTTTTAAAACAGAAGAAACAATTTCTTGCAGCTCGACCTATTATCAACTATCGCAGGTTTCTTTTCGCAAAACTCCTCAAAGCCACAGCCATTATCCTTCAACAACTACTCCAATGTTGCATGCCAAACACCTTTGGTCTTCAGTCACTTCAACAGATCTTTTCCAATCTCCAACGATTCCTCACACACATACCACCAGACGCAGAGCTTACAGTCCACAATCAAGACCTTGCCGGCTTTTTCACTTCTATTCCAGCACAGCGCATCATGCACTCGGTACGAACACTCCTTGACCTCTACAAACAACAACATCCACATGTTGATCACAATACAATGTTCACTGTCAATCTTCGGCAAACAGACAACACCTTGCGGATGTTCCGAGGCCGGCCTCGCAAAGCAGCCAACAGCCATCACCAAATCCGATTTGGCGACATTTATGACATTTGTCAACTATCCTTGCAAGCATCAATCTTTACACACATGAACCACACCTTCCAGCAAGTACGTGGCAGCGCTATCGGAAATCAAATCAGCCCGGTTCTCGCCAACATTACAGTTAGCCATGTGGAACATCAGTGGCGCACACAGCCACAAATCCAATTACTCCTACAACAATTTTCTGACCGTATCTATATCACCAGATACGTTGACAACCGACTTGTTCTTATCGACAAATCACAACAACATCATGCAGGCATCCGGCACTTTCTCACAGACACTTTCTATGAACCTCCGGTTCTCCTTGAACAAGAACCAGACCTATCCTTTCTTGGCTGCACAATCGACCCTGATCGTCAGACCTTATCCTACATACAACCAACCAACACTTGGCAATTCCAACCTTTTGCTTCAGCAGCATCAAAGCAACACAAACTATCAGCAGCATTCAGCCGGATTTGCTTGGCTGCTCGACACAGCTACCCACGTAAACAAGCAAAAGATGATGTTGAGTCCTTAATTCGAAGGTACGTATCGCTCGGATATCCCGAGAAAGTACTACGAGCCAAGGCGTCTCAGATGCTTCGGCATACTTGCTGATTGGTTCTTTGGTCAAGTAGGAGCTTTGATTAGTACTTGCTTTCCTCACCTCAAACCAACAGTTTTATCCGTCTAGTTTCAAAAAGCAAGTTTGTTTGACTCCTGTTTTTGACATATGTGACTCGAGACCAACAGCACTGAGGGGTGATTTCCTCACATTCAGTCCAAAACAACCACACCGAGGGAAGTCGTTCTTGGAAAAATCGTGCTCAGCGGCTTGATATACGTCTAAGTAAAAACCTTGGATCTAAGGGAGCAACCAGTGGAACAGTAACATCGTGCCCCAGTGGCTTGCTGTGTGTGAGAAACCCTGAATCAAAGGGAAAAGCAGGGGGCCCGTGGACGCATAGATGGCACGGGCCAACGAAGACCCATCTATGTCGTCGTGAAAACGTACCTGCATCCGAAATGGCAAGGTGGCCAAGCCAAAAACCACCCAAGCCGACATGTCATGACATGACATGACATGACATGACATGCTAATGTAACAACACGACATGACGGTTATCATTTCATCTCATTTCACCCTCTCCATTATGGAGTTTACCAAAGTGTGTGTGTGTGTGCCACCTGTGTGGATGTAAAACTTCACTATGCTGCAGGGGCGTGTGGCACTCATGTCCTCCCACACGCAATGAAGCTGTGGACATGAGTGGGAAGGGAAACGTGGCCGGTTCCGTGTACCTGCTGCTTCAAATAAATGTATATAGATAGATAGATAGATAGAAAGATAGATAGATAGATAGATAGATAGAAAGAAAAACAGATAGATAGATCGATCGATAGATAGATGGATAGATAGATAGATGGATCGATAGATAGATGGATGGATGGATGGATAGATAGATAGATAGATAGATAGATAGATAGATAGAGAGATAGAGGTAGATGGGGATATAGATAGATAGATAGAAAGAAAGAAAGATAGATAGAAAGAAAAAAAGACAGACAGAAAGAAAGATAGATAGATAGATCGATCGATAGATAGATAGATGGATAGATAGATAGATAGATGGATAGATAGATGGATGGATCGATAGATAGATAGATGCATGGATGGATGGATAGATAGATAGGTAGAGAGATAGAGATAGAGATAGATAGATAGATAGATAGACAGATAGATAGATAGATAGATAGATAGATAGAAATAGATAGATATAGATAGATAGATAGATCGATAGATAGATAGATAGATGGATAGGTAGATTCATGGATCGATAGATCGATAGATGGATGGATGGATGGATAGATAGACAGATAGATAGATAGATAGAGATAGATATAGATAGATATAGATATAGATCTAGATAGATTGATAGATAAAAAGATAGATAGATAGATAGATGGATAGATAGATAAATAGAAAGATACATAGATAGATAGATGGATGGATAGATAGGTAGATCGATGGATGGATGGATGGATAGATAGATAGAAAGATAGATAGATCGATAGATAGATAGATAGATGGATCGATGGATGGATGGATGGATGGATAGATAGATGGATGGATAGATAGAAAGATCGATCGATAGATAGTCCCGCCCCTGGGCGCATATAAGTCGCAGCTGGGGGGGCCATATATTTTATTGCTTGTTGGTTTATGGTCAATGTCCACTGTGATTATACGTTTATATATACATATATGTATATTCATCTTGTCTTTTTATTGTTGGTGTTTTTGCACGTCAGATGCATTCCACAAACCGAATTCGTAACAACAGTTCTGAGCAAGTGTGTGACTCATGCTGGATTCGTCATGGTGGCATGAGCCCTTCGGGGAATACCGTTCCGGGAAGGAAACTTGAGCCTCCGACTTGATCTCTGAATTTACATTTTTTAACCTAGTAATTCGTTTAAGTAAAGTGAAACAGCTGGCAATTTTTCGATTTCACCTTGTCGGTCGAGTGTGCGTTGAACATTTGGCTGCCGTGCCGGGCCTCACCTTTTTTCTCTGAATCTATAGTTTTAATGTTGTAATTCGTTCAACTTTTCACCTATCGGTCGAGTGCCGCTGTTCTGGACTTCACCCTTTTCTGTTTTTGACATTCAGGTATTAGGACATGTCTTTCAGGTGTGGTCTCTTTCTTTTTGGTTACTCTGGTGAGGTTCAATTGTACACGTAATTCATTCTGACCACTGACAGCCGTTGATAGGGTTGACTTGATGTTGTGGCCATTGAGCCCGATTAGAGGAATGTGCACGCTAATGTGGTTGCATCTTTTCATTAACTTGTCCTCCATGGGTCCCCTATCTCATATGTCTTCCTCTCTACAGGTAGGTTGGGTCCTGCGCATGCTTAGGTAAGCTTAGGTTTCGCTGTGGTAGGTTGGTTCAGGCGCTTCCATCTTCCCCCTCCTCCGCTGGTCTGGTTCCGTTTCCGTCGGCCTCCGTTTTTTCTTTCCTTGCTCTTTCAGGGTCTGCCCGCTCTGGGCCAGGTGTGTCGTATCGGTGTTTGCTCTTTCCCTCTTCTTTTGTGTTCCCCTCTTCGCGTCCTGGTTAAGTAAATCTCATCTAATTTTCATTGTCATCTCACTTTCATTGTCATTTCATCTGCCCCGCTGTTGCAGGGCGTGTGTGTGTGTGTGCGTGTGTGCCATCTGTATAGATGTAAAACTTCATTATGCTGCAGGGGCGTGTGGCACTCATGTCCTACAACACGCAATGAAGCTGTGGACATGAGTGGGAAGGGAAACGTGGCCAGTTCCCTGTACTTGCTGCTTCCCAAATATATATATATATATATTCCCGCCCCTGGGCGCATAAGTCGCAGCTGGGGGGACCATATATTGTATTGCTTGTTGGTTTATGGTCAACGTCCACTGTGATTATACGTTTATATATATATATGTATATTCATCTTGTCTTTTTATTGTTGGTGTTTTTGCACGTCAGATGCATTCCACAAACCGAATTTGTAACGACAGTTCTGGGCAAGTGTGTGTGTGTGACAAAGTTGTGTGTGAAAGAGTGCGTTGTGTGTGAAAGATTGTGTGTGACGAAGTTGTGTGTGAAAGATTGTGTGTGAAGAAAGGGCGGCGGCGGAGGAGGCGGCAGGGGAGCGGGAGGTGGGATGCAGAAGCAAAAACTAGAACCCCACACAATGATGTGGGGAAAAAGCAAGACTAGGTATCCTCCATTTATAGCCAAACATATGTAACTCAGGAGACTGTCCAACCGAGTTGCTTTGCGTGGTCACTGTGCGGGTGGTGTAGAAATAGACACTGTCCACACTTCGCCAGAGGAGGACGGCAAGCCTATGGACCACCACTTCAGAGCACAGAGTTATCTGCATATATCTGCATTAATAAGGTTTTGGGGGATACACTTCTGATGCTTTTCAAGTTCGAGGCACCAAGGTCTTGGTGAAACAAATTTGCTTAAATGAAGCTATACCAAAAAACAACCCGCCGGGTCGGGAACACGATCGGTTTTCGACCCAGTGGCAAAAACAAGTTTGAGGATGGGAAAGGACATCTACCCCGGAACCATGCCTCATTGTTGGACGATCCCAGCCCATGTTTGCATCTTCCAAAAGTGTGCATTCAGCATCACCCAGCAATGATGACTCGCTTTCACCCCTAAAAATCCAAATCAAAACTCCACCTTGGCGGTGTCACCTCCCCTTTTTCCTCCCATTCTGCACATCATTCACCACGTCACGCGGTTGCTGGCAGCCACCAGCCGACTCCGCCTGGCGGCGGCCCAGGCGTCTCTGGCCGCTCCGCCGCGCAGCAGCGCAGACCGCGGCGTGTTGGGCGCAGCGGTGGGGCGACGAAGCATTGCGTGACCACAGCAACGAGGCCCAGGGTGGCCAGGCCATGGCGACGCAT